GGTAATTTTACAAAGATTTGTAAATAGATTTCTTTTACCTCAAAACTGTGGCCAAATCACATGTTGTACAAACAAAAGATTAGCGGTACATTTTGAACCACTTGAGCTTTTATGACCAGTGCTTGAGCTTGTGTTTTTTTTTTTATATTTTTTTGTTTTGCTTGTTTGCAATTGCATGGGTACATAGAAGTTAAAATGCAGGTGTTAAGTAAAGCTGCTTAAGGATTTGAGAAATGAGTGGGTAGCTGTAAAAGTGAAAAGTACTTGCTGACTACAATCACAACTCAAAAATCACGGGACACAGATGTATTTACGGGTGTTACACTACAATATATAATAAGCCAGTTAAATGAATTTTTATCGGGTCTACATTGAACTCCAACAGAAGACTAAATTTTATGCCTATCCATATGTTAAGAGTTGAAATCGATTTGAGCTGAGCTTAGTTCTTGATTGCTTGACATCAAATTCCTTCTTTTAAGACAGCTAGCTCGTTTTGAAGCTGAGTTTAGAGCTTTTCGAACAAAGATAATGGTTCAAGAGATTAGTCTGAGTATTTTTGACTAATGATGTTAGATGACATTGAGGTCGAGCTTTTGCTATGACAAAACTCAAAATAGTATTTAGTGGTCTCTTTTATATAAAAACATTCGTTAATTGGATCTGAATCGGTGTCTAAGTGAGATCCTCTTTTTGAGATCGACCACTTAGCCAACTTAACCTATCGACTACGCCGTTAAAGAAGAAAAACCTAACCTGAATCTCAAGCAAGGAAAGGAATAATGTTAAACTAGATCACGATAAAGCTCGATATATTTTTATTTCAAAAAACCCAAAAAAAAAAAAAACTTGACTGGTCTCTCATATGCCAAGTTATTCAGGTCTTTCAAGAAAGAAATATAAACTGAATGGGTTCATCTCAAACTAGATCACTCATATAATTTGTTTTTTTTTTTTTTTAAGCCAAAAGACAAGTTGTCCTTAGAAGGGCGTCSCTTGTAATGTATAATTCATTTGGGTACAAATTTTTCAGAAAATAACTAAGCCTACAACATGAGAGACACGATCAGTCATTGTTAGATAAATATTGAAACCAGCATTATTGGACAGATTTCTTAAAAGAAATAGTTCCGCTTCTATATTTCAATCGARAGAGAAAATAAGTCGTGCAGATGTTTCCTCAAATAGAAGAAAAGTACCTGTATTTTGCTTAACAGAGCAATTCAATCTGATTTAGTACCAGAAACAATAAAATCTTTACCTATCATCATCGATAATCTTAACATTCATAATGCTTTTCCTTCGCTAACGCTTTGTTCAAAGGTAATCGAGGATCCCAATGGAGACACTTTAGAAATCAATATTGTTCATTTCAGTATTTATTCTCTAATAACACGTATAATTACCCTGGAGAGGCTCTTCTGAAACCAGATCAGTATATAGATGAATATGAATTCAGGGTGTTTTCTGAAAAAACATTAATCTCGCTAAAAGTTAAGTTAAGTTAAAGGTTAAGAAATGAGAGCAAATGGCTAGTAAGGGGATAAAAGTAGTGCCTGAAAAGTATAAGCGAGCTGGGATAACAAGTGGACAAGAAAGATGAAAGAGAGACTGAGTGAGCGAGAGTTATGGAGAAAGAGGTAGAAATAGAGAAGGAGAGAAGCAGAGATATATGGAAAAAGACTATAGGAGTATAGGAGACAAGATAAATAGAGAAGGAGAGGTCTATATGAGTTGATGATTGATCTATATGAGATATCTGTCAGATCGATATCTTATCTGAAATTTAGCAGACGACCTTTCCTCTTCAAGAAGCTGCTCATTTTTCAGAACCGCTGTTAGCGGACAACTATAGCATATATTTCCCATACAATCTGAATGATTAGGATTAAGTGCTTGTATGGATTTTTTTTTATTTATCGAGATGTCGTCATACAATTCAGCAAAAGGGCTGGCGCAATCTCCGAAGAAATTGTTCACATTGGACCACTATAGCCTATAGCTGCCATACAAACTAACCGATCRTATTTAAGTTTCTGAATTGAAAACTCTTTAGCTTGACAAGGAAACTTCATCTGTTGTAAAGAGATTACAACCTTAAGCAAAACACCAATTTCTCAAGAAATTGTTCGGTTCTGAAAAATATAGCATACATATACCATACAAAATGACGGATTGAATTCAGACAAATTACTTTTTAAACTCTTTTATGCTGTAAAAGTTGTACCTTTATAGAGTAATACAGTCTCGGTGCAGCCAAAGTTGACTTTTTCTCTTTTTTTTTCATTAATTATCTAGCAAAGAATTTCACTAAAGATTGCCAAAATACAATTATGTTTTCGGTAGATTTGAAATAATATTAATTATCGGATTTTCATAAGACTCTCAGTATTAATTAAAGCTTATGTACATACTTTAATGTTATATTCAATTAATTTGCGGCATAAATGCCAAACATAATTCAAGGAAACATGTCAGARTAGATACAGATATAATACGAATAAAGTTTACCTGACACATACACACACATTATTTTTGAGTTCAAAATGCGCAACTTTAATCTTAATTACAACTTCTGTGCAGCACAGATATGCTTATATATAGTAAGTGATTAGAGTAAAAACATAATTTGCGTTTGCACACAAGTAAACAACACAAACACATACTCATAAATGCATATAAGTCTATAATGTACACGCCCGGTATTTGATTATTTTAAATGTAGTTAGCAAGTAAAATATTGCATGATTACTTTGTCCGAAAATTTGCGTAAACATTTCATGTACTAGTACATTCAATTAGCTTAAATGAAATTSCTTTGTAGAAAGCATTGTTATGCAAGTAAATCAACACATACGCATATAACTGTAATTACAAGCAGCACAATGCACAAACTTACATTTCATGTTAGTATTTGAGGCAGAGTTTGAGATTAGTTTTTAAGCCAGCCAATTCTCTTTTGTTGTTGTTAAAAAGTGGATAGCCGCAGAGGCAGCTTCATTCTCAGAACAGAGTAATCGACTCTGAACTAGCAATGTTGAACCTGTATGTGCCTTGGAACCATAGAAAATTTTTCAATCCTCACAAAGCTGGCTTGGAACTTTTAAGATCGTTATTTTTTTCCGGAAACTTGAAATTACTGAAATTAAGCATCTCACATAGCAAGTGAAGCTTAAAAAAATGTACAGCAATATATTATATAAATTTTTGCTTAGGGGTCTGCAGATAGCAGTTCTAGTTAGCGACAGTTGAATCCGATCAGACTACCATACATGATAGTTTTGCAAATTCTATTAAATTCATCGTTACTATAAGCAGCAATCACTCTAGTGGGTTGTTCACTGTATTTCTTACATCTTTCTGAGATCTTGATGGAACATATCTGTTAAGGCGGAAGACAGTTTTGAGAGTTGCGAGTTCTATTAAGATCAACGATATTATTAGTAGTAACCTATTTATGGGTTATCTACTACAAATCTTTCTGGGATCTTGATGGAATATATTTGATAAGGTTGTAGATATTTTTGGAAAGTTGGGAGTCCTCACAAATTGAATGATATCACATAAAACAAAATCCCGAGTGAATTGTCTTCTACAACTAGTTCTATTTTTTGAGATCTTGATTACGATATATCGCTCCGTATAACACTTGTCTGTGACAAAGTAAAATTTTTTCAATAAATTGTTGTCCAAAATGTATTATAAGTACATCGTTGAAGTAAGAGGAAAATATAGAGTCTGAACATATATTTAATTTTTTATTAGCTAATTTTCTCACGTAATTTTCTGCATAATTTTAAAATTCGAAGTMAAATATTTCGATTTTGGKTAGTACCTTCAAAGTGGAGTAATTATTTAATTTTATGACTACATCTCTCGAAAAAGTATGGTTTATTCCAGCAACCAGTAAAAAGTTGTATAGTGCTGTTGATGTAAGAAACTCTGGATTGGGTTTTTCATGCGATTTGTACCTTGCTTAAAACCACTTTCACCGCTTTGCTCGGTATGCTCAACGTTATTAAAAAAACGAATCTCWCTGCGACATTATTTATACCCACTTATTTGGAAGGTTTCTGAGTATTCTGTTAGGTTAAAACCTTAACACGGCACATTCCACAAATGTTTTTCCTACTGATCTTTAATGATTCAAACATTTGAAGTTTACTAGTATTACAACAATCCATTTTTAATCTCGTTTTGAAAAGAATTGCTATACGATGTCCGAAGTAAGATTCAAAAGATCATCGGAACAATGGCACACTCTATCTGACAGCCTGGTCTAAGGACACACAGAACTGATATACAATTTTCGAAGTAAGGTTCTATACGATTTTCGAAGTAAGATTCGAAAGATCAGCCGACCAATAGTATACTCTATCTGAAAGCTTTGTCTAAGGTCACACAAAACCGAACTATACTAATCAAACGATCCATACCCATAATATTTCCATTATAGTTTCGGTTAAAGTCGCTTGAGGTTAAGTACCCTCTTCTGAAGACCTGAATATTTTCACTACAGTGAACATTAAASTCATGGATCTGCATTAAACCTACGTACATATTCTACCAATTGATATAACAGTCAGCACCWACTCACAGGCCAATAACTTTGCTAATTGTTATATAAGGAGTTTAATCTATTCTTCAAAATTTCCTTWTATCTTCAAAACATATTTCCTAAACTCATTTCAAACCTCTTGGCATAATACCTACTAATATATAAGATATAACTGTAAGCAGATAAACAAAAATTAACATAAATTTATTTAAGCCATCTCTAATGCAAGAACTCATTCGCACGTACGACACACACAGCCATTAATGTTGTTGCCGCACTGTATATTCGACGCATCTTCTAACACAACCGTTTGATTTAATGTTTATAGAACACACTAATACAAATATAACAATAACACACATCTGTAAAAAATACATATTTCATGCAATCATCAAACTGTCTTCTCTTTGCCTCCTTCTCTTTTTCTACATGYTATCCATAGATCGATTTGGCTCATCATCCGATGTACTCGACGAGTCCCATGTTTGGCGGTCAAACCACCATAACCGGTGTCACCATGTCGCATCCCTCGCAGTTGGCCACATTCACCCCGCCACCGCCGTTATTTACGCACAAAGTGATCGGTGCYGCGCAATCACAGTCGCTGCCACCAAATGTTGCAGTGCCGGTGAGCAGTAATGGACTGCTGCAGACAGTCACCGCTGGTGGTGGACTCGTGTGTATGGGTATGCCGCCACATTCGGCAGCGGCGGCTGCGTCACTTATGCATGCAGCGCAACAACAACAACAACAACAACATCAGCAACCAAAATCGCCACCAACGGCTGGCAACGGTATGTCAGTGGGCGGTTATGGAGATGTGGTAAGTAGCAGAGGAGACGGCTGTTGAACTAATATCCGTATAGAGACTCCTAGCAAAAGTTAGGCCCACGTGTTCACCAATTAGATTGAAAGCGGTGGATCTCTTTAAGCCTAAAACAACAAGACTAGTGTTATGGAAAATATTATATGGGCGAAATAATAACTAAATGAAGTTTCTAAATTTGGTCAATCAAAATAAAGGTTGATTCTCTAAAACAAGATCACATCATTCTTCTTTTCAATAAGCTCAAAAACTGTATATGCTTTGAAGAATTAAAATAACTTTAATAAATCGCCAATTAAATCCACTAAAATGCTGATAGGACTTAATATTTTTGGACTCCGGACTTATTTCTCCTGAAAGTTGGTTCGAAAATTGGAATTCTTCGCTGATTCACTAAATTTTGTGCTTGTGATCACCTCTTACTGTCTTCGTATCTTGACGCTTTGTCGGAAGATCGTCGCTCCTTAGTCCCGCACCAGCCATATGAGAAATGGGAAAGATATGGAGACCTCAATTGAATACATTTTTCTACTCGATTTCTAAAGCCTTATCCTTTTATAAGATGTCGTTACCAACTTAAGTGCTTCGGTTTAGGAATTTTTGAGTTCTCATACTTTGATCTCTCTTTTTAGTCCATTATGTTACATCTGGTATGCTCTTTATATTTTCATCGGAAGCAATCTTTTATTCTCAATGCAGTCAATAGAGAGATTTTGCATATCGGTCTGTATAGCTGGATTTCTCTATAAGCAGACCATAAATAACGGTGGTGGATTCAACTCAGTTCACAAAGTCCCGGAGTCAATACCAGGAGTGCTACTTCAGTGGTAGTTGTTGAGTGCTTGAATGAGTTATATGGAGCTTCTTTTTGTTAAGCATAGTTTCAAATTTTCACAACATATTTTGGAGGTTTTAGATTAAGAAAAATCAGCCCCTCACTATACTTGGATATACAAATCCTAGATTATAAGTTGAAGATGGTTTAGCGTTCGTAACAAATCCTAGATTATGAATTTAAAAAGCTTTGGCACTTTTTAGTACATTTAACTTTTCCTGAAGATCTCAGGGTCTTGGTGAGTTTTAAGTTTCCTTCGATGTATTACGGATTTTTGTCACTATCACTGTTTTCCACTAATATCTCTACTTCACAAAGTGAGGGTGCGCTCTCTTTCATAAATTGAGCAGCTCTGGGTGCTTGTAGCGTAGTCTTTTTTTAGCTCTTTGATTGACTTTGGTCCATTTTGTTATTTATCATGATTTTGCGAACATTTTGGGTCCTCAAAACAAAGAACCGCATCTTTTCTCTGAGAACCGCATATTTTCTCTTATTCTTGCTGGACTTTAGGCATTCTTGTTCGTTAAACTAATTTTGCGTACAATTTGGGTCACCGAAAAGTAACTGCCACATCAAAATTTGTTTCTACAAAAGCACATTAGTTAACTACTTTTATCAATTTATAGTGCTTTATGAGCAAGGGAGAGTTTGGTGGGCAAAAAAGGTGCTTTTCATTATTTACAAATAAACCAAGTRTAACAAAAAGTTCTTGAATTCACATTCGGAGCGCAAAACAATTTCATTTAGCAATGTCAACAAGCTACGCCTCAAAAATAACGGCAACTGTTATAACAACTAAACGAAATGCCAACACAAAAAACTAATGAAACAACAACAATAACAACACGCAACTTTATAGAAATGCCAATGAAAGTGGAAGTAGCAGTGACTTAAGGGGCCAGAGCGCACAGAAAAAAGCAAAAAAAAATGCAAAACAAAAAAAACAAATGTCAGTTGGAAAACGTTTGGCCTTTGGCGAGCGGTGCTGGGCAGAAGTTATATGAGCGTAAAAACAACAACAATAACAGCAATGTTAACGGTGCACCGCAGAAAGTACGACGAATGAGTAAAAATAAAAGCCGGAGTAAAATAGAGCAGAAACGAAAATTGCAATTTTTGCAAAATCAACAACAATATGTGCAACAACAATAAGTAGCGTAAAAATTTTGCGTAGAATCAAAACAAAAGAACTAAAAAGCACGCAAAAAAACAGTTAGCAAATAGATAACAAATATAACAATGCTGGAAAAAATGTAATGCAGTAGTTATAGCATTTGTTTTTGTTGTTGCGACTTTAGCAAATAAATGAGGCGAGCATTATGCGAGTGGCCGAGCACTTTTTGAGCGCCACCGGAAAGTTTGTCCGTGCCGCAAAAAAAACAAGCAGCAAACAAAGCGCGCACACCAAACACAGCGTTGCACTTTCATGATTGCCATGTCCTTTTTCATATTTCGCCTGGCAGGATATTAAGAACTTACGAATGCAGTCGCTGGTGAAATTTGGTGTTTAGTTTACGTAAAAATGGTCACATTAAGTTGTGGCTTTGCTTCACCTCGCTTTTGTTTTCACTTACACCCGCAAATGTTTCACCAATAGAGTAAAAGATTTTTGTTGTGGAACTTAAGTTTGCTAGTAAGTTAGTAATACAGTGCAAATGTGTGTCAAGCGTTCGAGTGATTATCCTCTCGAAAATTAAAAATTTGAGTATCGCGAAGCTGCTTGAAAGACATCTGTCTTCCGACTCTAAATAAGCTACAACTGCGTCCGAAATTGGCACAAACAATAATGAATAAAAAAAGTATTTTCGTATTTCTAATCGAACTTCAACTTATTTTYTTTTTTTTATTATATTTGTAATGAATTTTAATGAACCAAATATGTACCGATCGATCATGCCACTGTTTTGCTAGAGACATTATTCCATCAAACACTCAGCATAACCTTTCGAGACGTGAATTCTGGCTTTGCGACCATTTGTTCAGCTTCACCATGCTTGAACCATGATATTTTTGCACATTTATGTCGTATTTGATCCACTTTTCGTCTCCTCTTACATATTAGCTTGTCAAAAAAGTCTTGCGGTATTTTTTTTATTGAATTTTCAATTGTTCATAAAATTTTTTTTTTTTTTTTGATGATTCATGCGCCGATGCTATGGCTGCTACTATGCCGGTCTCTTTCGACCAATTCAGCGATTTTATCGCAATTTTCGACGACAGGCCTTCCGGAGCGTGACGCCATGGTTGTGCGGTGGAAATGGAAACTGTATCGGGTCCATAAACTGCACAAATTTTATTGGCGGCTTGTGATACATTTTTGCCTTTATCGTAGTAGTACTGTAAAATATGCCGTATTTTCTCTTTATTTTGCTCCATGTTGGCGACGCTATAACTCATGAACGAAACACGTGTTAGTGCGTGAAATGAGCTTTGCAAAATGGTATAGCATGACCCGATGCGACGAGTAAAACTAGAACTACGCGCTCTCAGCGCCAACTAGCRAAGACTTTTTAACAACCTAATATAATCCCAGATGTTAATTCGGTCCAATAAATTTTTTACAGACAAGCATCGAGCTTTTYCCTTGTGGTTCGAAAGCGTTTGATGACTGGTCAATCTTTTCTATAATTTCATCGACTTTTTCCACCATAGGTCGACCAGTGCGAGGTGCATCTTTCACAWCGAAATTTCCGAAACGGACCATTGTTGTGCTACACGAACTGATACAGCATCGTCTTCGTAAGCTTCATAAGTTTCATTAGTGGCTTACGTGACATTCTTCCCTTTTTATACAAAAATTTCAAAATATAGCGAATTTCTTCATTGTTTTCACTTCCTCTAATTTATTTTTTGTTTATTTAAATGAAGTTAAAATCTCACCTTCCCAGCACTGTATGATATGACACAATGTGATGTTCGACTGCAGCGACGGCTATTGATAAAATGCGAAATTACTTCTTCGACTACCCAATATAAGTGCAATATTTTTCCGATCTACTTTCTATCACAAAAAATTGTAAATTGAAGAGATATCTTCCTTAGATAAGGCGGCATAAGATACCAGCTATAGAATAACTCCAAACATGGCAGAAATCTGTCTATAACTTCTCCCAGCCTTCATTAATTTGACAAATGGTCCTATATAAGCTTCAAACTGCATCAGTTTAGCACCTCTGATTTCCACTGCCACACACATTTAGCTCGTCCTTACTCARTTTTTTCAATTGCGGTTTCTCGCTGCCACAAAAGTGAAATAAAACTAAATACAAACTAATAATAATGACCAWGCTTATCGCAATGTTGTGCGGGTGTATTTGTATGTGCTAGCGTGTGTGTGTGCGGTGCGGTGCGGTGAGGTTGGCTTGTGTAGTTTTGAAATTACAACCATTACTAGTACTTATTGTGTAAATACCATTGTTAGCGCCTTTGGAAATCAAATTGTTAGTGTGGCAGCAAGAGTGGTACTTGTTCTTGTTGTTTTTRCTTTTGAGTAAAGTGAAAGTATGGCGTTGACAAAAGCGTGAGTTTGTTTTTCATAAATTTTTAGTGCATTTTAGCGCAACGAAATTCGAACAAAGCTTCCTCTAAGGCTCAAAGAATACACGCTGCTTGAACTGGGTCAAAGAAAATTATGATTTTATACAAATGACTTAGAAGCCGCTATTTAYAGTTCATAAATTTGATTAGAAATATGACTAATGTTTATGGTTGGTAACTAAGAGGACTGCGAATTGCTGTGACAGATCAAACAGGTCTTGATGACASCAGTAATATTTGGAGCTCTCAATAATCTTACTTAGAGTCATATTTTGTCATGCTAGAGTATTCAGATCAATGGGCTCCCTTATTAAGTCTCTATTTCGAAACAGGGAAAAAATGTTTTAAAAAGACTCTCTCCGTCCTTGGATCCCGGGGTTTGGACAAGCCTGGACTGCTCGAAACTATTTTAGCTTTTCCTCGGCCCTGGTCTATTTACCTTTCTAATTTAGACTTGTATGGTTCTTTYGCTTTAAGATTGCTTAAAGGAGATGAAGTATTTTATCTATCGTTAAGACATAGCTTGAGAACTATAAGTTCAAACTCAAAATCATAAACCGAAGTTTCGAGTCCAAGAAACCTACAGATAATATTYACTTTGAACTTGGACTGCTCTGTAATCTTCTAGCTTGTCCTTGGATCTGGTCTGTATAGTCTGAATAGATTTGAGCTCTTCTAGTCTGATCTAGTCTGAACCCATTCTTAACTAGTCCGAACATTTTCTAATAAGAATATTTAAAGAAAATGAAAGCTCTGCCGATTGTGGTTGAAAGACTTTATCGATCATAGAGACCTGACCGCGGAACTATAAGTACGGACTCAAAATCAGAAAACAAAATGTCCAAGACCTTAAACCAGATCACGGTCGGACGGTTGGATGGCTCTGAACGCTCCTAGCTTGCCCTTGGCGCTGGTTTGGAGCTTTAACATTTAGATCGGGCTATAGTCATACCCTGCTAAAAATTACTAGATTCTCTTTGACACCAGATATTGGAAAAGATTTTCTTTCTATCAATATTGACCAATTAATCCCTGCAACTAAATATTATAACAACTATAATATATCTATTATCCGTAATAAAGGCATATCCGTAATATAATAGCATGACCTTATGCGACGARTAAAACTAGAACTACGCGCTCTCAGCGCCAGCTAGCGAAAACACCGCAAGACTTTTTTGACAAMCTAATATATCTATATTCCATAATACAGGCCCAAAGCTCGTAACGCAGTTATTTCGGTTATATTAGTCAATAATCTCTTTACAATCTTTCACGTAATTTTCTCTCATCTCTTCCCGCAACAGAACTCTAGCCCGGGCATCCTGAAAACGGTACCAGAAGAAGTGCATCATCAAATGAATGGTGAGGATTTGCTCCTTACAAAGGATCGCAATCATGCAACACGCTTTTGACGGTAAATTACAATCATCGAGACGCTTGAGATGGCGCAGTAAAAATACCAGAAACGACATGGCAGACGAAGTAAATGAAACAAACGATAAACTACGTAGCGTATAAAGGAAAATGTTAACAAGACAAAAACTGATAATGGTAAAACGAGAAACAAAAAATTTGGGGGAGAAAAATATGTAAACAGACTATAATAGAATGTGATGGAAATCTAAATATATAAAATAATGAGAAGATAAAGTAAAAGAATTTCTGTTCATTAGTGAAGTATACAACTTAAAAACACTACTTAGATGTACACAAAGCAACCCTGTAAGAATTTAAAAGTATTTGGAATTTCGTACTCGGCCATTAAAACTAAATTTTGATTACCAAGTTCAAGTTTGATTGACAAGCTCTATACTGTTTCTAAAGTTAATTACAGTCTCACAAGATCGGTATTGTTTCCCACGTTCCCACTTCAAATTAGTTTCACAACTTCCAATCCGTTTAAAACGATCATTACTGTTTCAAAAGTTCATTATTGTTCCATAAGTTCATTACTGTTTCAAAAGTTCATTATTGTTCCATAAGTTCATTACTGTTTCACAAGTTCATTACAGTTCCATAAGTTCATTAATGTTTCACAAGTTCCTTACGGTTCCATAAGTTCATTACTGTTTCAAAACTTCATTATTGTTCCATAAGTTCATTACTGTTTCACAAGTTCATTACAGTTCCATAAGTTCATTAATGTTTCACAAGTTCCTTACGGTTCCATAAGTTCATTACTGTTTCAAAACTTCATTATTGTTCCATAAGTTCATTACTGTTTCACAAGTTCATTAGAGTTTCATATGTTCGATTTTGAGTGATAAGTTCAATACTGTTTCAAACGTTGATTACTGTCTCAAAGTTTAAATATTTTTTCACACGTTAAATACCATTTCACAACTTCAAATCCGTTTCAAACATTCATTATTTTTTCACAAGTTCAATTCTCGTTCACCGTTTCACAACTTGGAATTCGTTTCACAAGTTAAGTACTCTTTCTTAAGTGAGGTTCGAAATACCATTTTTAAAGGCTGTATATAATATTACTTAAAGCTATAAAAGCTATAAAAATTTCTTAATACCACCATAATTAACAGACGCTTTCGAGGTTTACTTCATAAAAAAAAAAAGAATCTAATGCTTTTGGAGAAATTTTTTCCATTAGTCTCTCTCTATTTTCAATATTTTGCTCTCTTTGTTCGAGTTTTAAAGCACAGWTAACATAATGGTTTATTTTGAAGGTGTATAGGATTTAAATTTTGTTCCTTAAGCATTTCATTAATTATTTATTGCAGGGTTGCCGCCTACATATAAAAAATTGCAAATCTCCAATATATTGAATCTGTCAAACGAACTGCCAATAAAGCATTTCAAGCCTATTAACACTGGGTGAGTTAGTAGTTGCCAACAGGCAATTGAGATACTTACTGTGTGAAAAATATTGCTCAACACTGTACTTTTGCAATGAAAGTGGCAAGCATAATCTTCGTTTGTGTCTAGAAATTTTTAATGCAAATAATTTTTCAATATTTTATTACAAAACTCTTTGTGTACATAATAAATTTAGTAAATAATGGAAATAGCAAATTAAAGCGTGAAAATAAAGTAAATAAAATTAAAAATAAATATTTAAAGATAATGGAGGTAAT